TAGAATTACCACCAAAATCAGATTAAATAATGCCTTACTAAGACCCCATCTTGAGTATGTTTCACAAATATGGATGCCCTTGAAAGCCACACATATTGATCATATTGAAAAAGTACAAAAAATATTTTTACCGTACCTTTATGCCATAAAAAATACTTGTACCTTTATAAGATCTCATATAAAACTATGCTCTATAGTTTTAAGATTAAATCTCTTTTACAAAGAAGAAAGCAACAGGCTGTGATATATTTTGTACTCTATTTTAAATAATATTAAGTACATAGATTGTGATTTGATTGACTATATAAATTTTAATGTGGCAAAGATTAATCTAAGAATCCCAAGTAACAAAAAATTATTTAGTTTAGATTCAAGTAGTATATTTCCTTTTAACAAGATAATGGCTGTTACCAATGAGCTTTTTAGCGAGGTCCAAATAGATATCTTTAATGTTAGCCTAAGAAAGTTGAGGACTGTACTAAATTAAGTTCACTAGATATAAAGGTTTGTTTTGTTTATAAAGTTCTTGTTACTTAACTCTACATGTAACTACTATTATTTTTTTATAGTATCCAATAAATAAATTATACTTTATGGCTGCTTTCAAACAATTCTGTGTGTAGTCACTCAGTTTAAAGTTAATTTTAAATTAATGAGTTTAATAAGAATGTCAAATAGTGATATGTATAGTGTCTATGAATTTGCTGTGTATAGTAAATGGCAAATAAACATAACTTTGATATTTTTATTACAAGTGTAAAAACTACGCAAACCATATACATATAGTTCCCATTTTTAAATAAATTTATAATAAAAAGTAACGATTTTAGTCTGCCATACTTGAACTCATTCACTAAAACAAGTCACTGAGTATATATTTGTAAAAAAAAACTACACTAAATATGTCTCCATTATAAATTTTTATATTTAAAACTACATAGATTTTGCAGTAAGTACCTAAATAACGTATAGAATAAATTTCTACAACATAGAAAAGTTTTAGATTAGAGTAATTCTTAAGAAATAAAGCAAAACCTCTATTTTGTTACTCTAACCTTGTGTGTTATATATTTTCCTTGACAAGCTAACGTTATATTTTGAACTAAAAGTAATTAAACTTTTCACTAAAAAGTAATATTTCACATATATAAAAAAAATTTAAAACGGTTCTGCCTTCTCACATTTGCGAAGACTGCCCTGATATCTAATCTATTTTCTTTTGCAAAGTAATTAAGTTGTTCAACCGTTGTCTATAAAGGTATCTCACATCTCGCTCATACACACAAATTTGAAAAGCAGCAGAACAAAAATTCAACTAACCAGGTATACCAAGTCCGTGTAAAGAAAACTTTTCATATCCCGAAAACGTCAAGTGTCAACTAAAATTTCTACTTTTAAAGATCAAACGTGCCGCCTCAGAGTGCCAATACTGATTGGTATATATACTGGGCACTGGGTCAACAGCCGGGTTTAACGAAATACGATTAAGATGTATGTCGTCTTAACATTATTGTAATTATTACATGCTTAGAAAAGAGATGACAGGTTGGATGTATGTCGTCCAATATGTTCATTTATATTTTTAGTTTGGCTATCTAGGGATGGGATGAATGAATGGAGTGGAATATTCCTTTAGTATGAATTTGGATATTGGATGTGTAATAATAATCCAAATATTAAATTTGATAGTAGTTAAAATCCAGAGTAATTTCGCTATTTTTTTATTGTTTTTAAAAGTGTAGATTTTAATATTTTATTATGGCAGTAGTGCAAAAACTTAAAGAACTTAAAATTAGAAATGAACTAAATTTCGAAAAACGTTTGGAACTAAAAGAAAATGGTCGCCCTCTGCCAGATCTAAAAATTAAGCAGACTATCAAGGACAAAAATAAAGACGTTCATCGCAATTTTCGCAGGTCTATGTATGATTTTTTGGACTGGATTTGCGGGTGTGAAGTAAGTAATGCATTTTACTGTTTTGTATGTATTATATTTTCGAATGACTCTCTATGGTGTAAAAACGGTGTCCAAGATTTAAAGCATTTAAAAGACAAAATTAAAAAACATGTTTTATCTGCAGACCATATGAAAAGTGCCATGAGTTTTGCTACAATTGGTAGTGTTCAGAGCTGTTTAAAATCATTTTAAAAACGATTTAAATCAAAGATCATAAATCGTTTGCATTTGAACAAATGATTTAAATCAAAGATCGATTTTTAAAAAGAAAGATTTAAATCAAAAATGTTTTTTAGATTTAAATCTTTTTTGCAATTTAAATCATTTTAGAAAAGATTTAAATCTTTTTGAAAGATTTAAATCATTTTAGGAAAGATTTAAATCTTTTCGAAATATTTAAATCATTTTAGGAAAGATTTAAATCATTTTAGGAAAGATTTAAATCATTTTAGGAAAGATTTAAATCATTTTAGGAAAGATTTAAATCATTTTAGGAAAGATTTAAATCTTTTCGAAATATCTAAATCTTTTTAAACGAAATAAATATTTTCAAAAGATTTAAATCTTTTTATAGATTTGGGTAACTCTTTAAAAAATGCTTTCGGTAGGCCAAAGATAATGAATACTTAAGTAATTTGATTTTCTCATAAATAAAACGCAAAAATCGATCAACTTTTCTCGTATTTATTTTTTATCGTTATTAGCCCAATGCAATTCTTACGGAAATATTAATTTTAAATAATAAATATCCGATCGAGATAAAATGTTTAAGGATTTATGCAGCATTGATGTCTGTAGTTATGAAAATTGTTATTTAAAAATGTCATGTCGATTGGTAAATAGGAATTTTTTAAACCTTTAAAAGATATTTTTGGTATGCCTATGATGCCACAAAACAATGGAGACCTAGTTTTTAAGAAAAGTTATTTTTTTTTTCTGAAAAATCACTTAAATCCGTCAACTCTTCCTTGAGTTAACGTGCTTAATGTCATACATACATAAACACCCACATAGATGCACATACATCAGACTCTTTAAAAATATGTTTTTTTTGTACTTAGGAGACTCTCCCGGAAAAATGCATTTCATTTTCAAAATCTCCCGGCTATGAATAATGAAATTGAGTGGGTTGAATTAAAAGAGTTCTTCTCTCAACGTGAAGTTATTGCGAGTAAATAAATAACCAAAGTAGGCGCGTTTGGGTTAATTTTTTTGAAAAATGTGTTGATGAATCAGGCAAAGAAATAAAAAATTTAATTAATTCGCTCTACCTATGCCAAGCGTGTTTATTGAACTGGTCAAAAAGTCATAATCGTCTTAACTCGTGTCAAATCTGAAATAAAAGTGTGCATAAATGTAAAGAGTTTTAGGATTATATCGATAATGAAAAAGTATTTCCAGCTGCTTGCGGTGTAAAAAATACAACTTTACAAAAAAAATATCATAAAATTTCATACTTAAGGAGGTCCTTACGCCACCAATGTTAAATAAAAAATATTAGATTATAACTAAATAATTAAATTTACACTATTCATAAAAAAATTGTTTTCAATTTACTCATTTGTGTTGTAATTTTATTTAAATAATAAAAAAAATTATAGTAAATAATGTGTAAGTATATCTCATTATGATAAATAAATAAATAATTAGATAGTATACTCTAATAAGCTGATATTTTTCATTTATTGTGATATTTTCAATTATAAAATAAAAAAATTTGGTAAAACTAAATAAATTAATAAATATAAATGCGTTAAAGTTTACATTGATTATATTCAATGGTCTGAAATTCACGCGCTACGCAACGTTGCCAAATGTTTTGACTCCATTTTAAGCTAGGTTACTTGAAAATTTTTTGTGATTTTTTTAATATTAATTTCTCAATAAATTCCACGGTAACCTATATATTTTATTGTAAAAAACAAAACCTAAATATTTCAAAAACATTATTTTTAGTTTTTTTCTACTCCATTTTATCAATAAATAATAGTATAATTCGAGAATTGTTGTTGAGGTCTGACTTTCTCGTAAGACACTGTACAAATACTCACATTTAAAAAAAAAATCTCAAAAATTTGCACGGTGAAGTATACCTAGTTAAAAGTTCACTATTAGATAAATAAGGACTTCAACTATTAGAAAAAAATTAATTTTAGTCATGATCTGATAATTTTTATTTAACATTGGTGGCGAAAAGACCTTCTTAAGAATAATCTTTAGTTATTGCAATTATTTGTTGCACTTTACTATGTTTTGTTTTTCTTTTCTCCCGGATTTCTGATTCAACCCTACTGACATGCTGGCTAGATTATTATTCAGGAATAGACAGGTTGATAACGATTTTGACGAATCAGGTGATGTAAATCGTTTTAAAAAGATTTAAATCTTAAAAAAGATTTAAATCATTTCAGAAAGATTTAAATAAAAAAAAAAAGATTTAAATCGTTTTAAAAAGATTTAAATCGTTTTAAAAAGATTTAAATCGTTTTAAAAAGATTTAAATCGTTTTAAAAAGATGTAAATCGTTTTAAAAAGATTTAAATCGTTTTAAAAAGATTTAAATCGTTTTAAAATGATTTAAATCGTTTAAACAGATTTAAATCGTTTTAAAAAGATTTAAATCTAATTTTTAAATAAAAAATCAAAGATACTTTTCGGAAAGATTTAAATCATAAATCAAAAATCATTTTTTTAAAAAAGATTTAAAATCAAAGTATTTAAATCAAAAAATTTATTTAAATCAAAAAATGATTTAAATCTCACTGATAGGTAACAGCTCTGGTAGTGTTGATATTCGATCTCAATTAGACAATGCTTATCGGCAATCCGTAAGAGTTTTTAACGAAAATGTGTCAAAAAATCGATATATTTTAAATAAAATAATAGACTGTGTGAAGTTTTGTGGTGCATTTGAGCTGGCTTTACGAGGACATGACGAAACAGAATCGTCTGAAAATCCGGGAATATTTCGTGGACTAATAAACTTCGTTTCAGAGCTGGATCCAATATTCAAAGAATACTTAGATAAGGCTACGATTTTTAAGGGTACATCTAAAACTGTGCAAAATGATTTACTTGATTCAATGTTATCGATAGCTCAAGAACAAATTAAATTGGAAATTCAGTCAGCTGAATATATCGCCATTCAGGTGGATGAAACCACTGACAGCTCCAATAAAACCCAAATGACTTTTATAGTACGGTATATATTGTCAGGCATCGTTCATGAAAGGTTCATAAAATTTATAATTCCGTCCGGTACCACAGCCGAACACTTGTCAGACGTAATTTTTAAAGAATTAGAAATTTTAGAAATACATAAAACACCGGAAAAATTAATTGGACAAAGTTATGATGGAGCATCTACTATGAGTGGACGATTAGGTGGAGTGCAAAAAAAAAATATAGAACGATATCCTGCTGCTAATTTTATTCATTGCTATGCCCACCAATTAAACTTAATACTGCAAAAAGCAGCTAGTCAAAATAAAAACGTAAAAATTTTTTTTGCCAATTTACAGGGGTTTTCTACATTTTTTAGTCGATCTCCAAAACGTACAGCAGTTCTCGACGAATTTGTTAAAGTTCGTTTACCTAGAGCCGTACCGACAAGATGGTATTTTAACGCACGTTGTGTGGAAACTGTCTTTCTATATCAGGTTGATATTCTGGCTTCTCTAGAGAAGATAATTGAGACTGAAGAAGATTCCAATACAATTGATTAGGCGATTGGGTTAAAGACATTTTTGCAAAGTGTAAATTTTGTGTATTGGTTAAACTTTTTTCATTTAATAATGCCCCATTCCGAAATTCTTTTCAGTCAACTTCAAAAACGCGGTATTGATGTTATATTGGTAAAAAAATACATAGACTCATTTAAAGCTTCAATTCAAAATGTTAGAGATAAGGTAATAAATGAAATATCTTCAGAAATGCCTTCATCTATCACACTTAGTGCTAAAAGACCAAGAAAAAATGAAGATTCTAATCGTCAAGTCGCTTTGGAAGTTTGTGACATAATAATATCTGAAATAAACCACCGTTTTAGTTTTAGTGACCATTTAGTAATCACTCAATTATTTTATAGTGATCAGTTTGAACAATAACCTTCTTACTATCAACTTACAGGACTATGTTCTGGCAACTTCTTTTTGTAGGGAGAAAATTAAGAAGGGTGGAACAGCTATATTTGTTAAGCAGGATTTCAAATTTAAACCTCTGAACTTAAAAATGCACAATATTGAACAAAGTTCTGAATTTTGCGCAATAGAGCTGCTGAATGATCAGGTAAAGGCGATATTGACACGTTTTTATTCAATTTTGAGAGTCTCTTAAATAATGTCATAAAAGCAAATACAAAAATTGTAATATTGGGGGACTTTAATATAGATTTTAAAATAAATTCCAATTCATTAAAAAATCTCAAAAATATATTCTCATCTTTTGGCTTATACTTTACCATTCAAGATAATACACGAGTGACTGCAACTTCTGCAACTTGCATCGACAACATTCTCACGAACTTAAGTAAAGAGAATGTTGATACTGGGGCCTTTGAGCCTTGCATATCGGACCATCGTGGTCAATATCTTCTACTTAGAAAGTGTTTAAAACATAAAAAAGATAATAAGACCAAGAAAAGAGTAATCACTAAAAAGGGGTTATGTCAATTAAAACGGAAACTCATAGATATAAATTGGGGAATGTTTGAAATAAATCAAGAGATCAATTTCTTGGGCTCTTTCTTAACTAACACCTATAGCAACTTAATCGCAAATAATTTTCCATTAAAAACTTACTCAGATAATAACACTAAAAAGTCACCTGTAAATTGGTTCAGTGAAAATTTAAAAACTATGAGAAATGCCATGTTTGCACTCAAGACAATCTCTGAAGTAACTAGGGACCAAGATGATGTGCAGATTTTTAAAAATTATAAAAAAGAGTACAACCTGAACATAAAAGAAACTAAAAAAGCTGCCTACGATGCTTATATTTCTAAAGCTGAAAATAAATCCAAAGCTTGTTGGAATATCATAAATTTCGAAAGAAACAAAATTAAAGCAAATTGTCCTAAACTTAAGTCCGAATTCACTTAATAATTTTTATTCAAATATTGCAGAAACCATAAAATCACTTCCTACTATCTCTAATCAAGATTTGCTGAATTACAGATATTATCCAATGCCATGTAGTTCCTTTTTTCTGTCCGCTGTATGCGAAGAAGAAGTCTTATGCGTAATTCGATCTCTAAAAATAGACACAAATAACCTAAATAGTCTCATCATCAAGGAAACCTCTGATACCATTGTTAAACCCCTAACTATCCTTATAAACTTGATGTTTAGTACTGGGGTCTTTCCAGACGCATTCAAATCTTCAAAAATTCTTCCTCTGTATAAAAAAGGGGATACTTCTCAGCCAGATAATTACCGTCCCATTTCAATCATCTCTATCTTTAGTAAAATAATAGAAAAACTCATCAAGGATCGTTTATATGAGTATTTTAATAAATATAATTTTCTTAATAAATCTCAGTTTGGATTTCGGAAAGATCACTCTACGGCACAGGCAGTATTGAATATTGTGGGAGATGTGGTGGAGAGCCTTGAAGGAGGTAACTATACAGCCATCAGTCTGTGTGACCTTTCAAAGGCTTTTGATTGCGTCTCCCATAGTATTTTACTGGAAAAACTATATTTCTATGGTGTTAGAGGGACAGCATTAGCACTTATCGAGTCGTATCTCACAAACAGACTTCAGGCTGTATATTGTAATAATACTTATTCTGACTTTAAACCAGTTAAACACGGCGTTCCTCAAGGCTCCGTCTTAGGACCCTTACTCTTTATCATTTACATTAATGGTCTTCCAAATTTTATGTATCCGTACAAATCTGCTATTTTTGCAGACGACTCCACATTTATCTACTCTTCTAAAGACACTGAGAGTCTCGATTTAGTATCAAAAGATTTACACTCAAAAGCTGAAGAATGGTTTCTAGGAAATAGTCTTAAATTGAATAATAATAAAACCCAAAATCTTTATTTCACTACGACCTACTCAAAGAGTGACACTCAAAGTGTAAAGCTGCTTGGCTTATTTGTAGATGAACATCTTAATTGGAATGTCCATGTGGAATACCTAAAAAGTAAGTTAGCAACGGCACTCTTTGTTTTAAGGCAGTTAAAAAATTCAACAAGCTTTGACGTACAAAAATTGACCTATTTTTCACTTTTTCACTCGCATATATCCTATGGCATTGTTATATGGGTAAATGCTTCTGCTGCATTAGACATTTTCAGATTGCAAAAGAAGGCCATAAGAGTATTGTGTGATGTTGGTTTTCGTGAACCTTGTAAAACTTTATTTATTAAACTTAGGATAATGCCTTTACCTACATTATTTCTTTATTATATGCTTGTGGAGATTCACAAAAAGAGGATTTTTTTGGGGAAAAATTCGGATGTACATGATCACAACACTAGATTTGCCACAAATTTTAGAAATAAACGATATCGTTTAGCTAAATCTCAAAAAAATTCACTAAATTTAAATTTCTACAACACATTACCAGACGAATTTAAAAAATGTCTTTAAATAAGTTTAAAAAATCTCTTAAACAGTTTATGCTGCGATTTTGTTTTTACTCTGTTAATGAATACATAGAACATTTCATTTAAAGCACATTGCTTGCATTGGCTTTAAATTCATTACTTAAATTAACGATTTAAACTCTACTTAAATTGGTGCTATGATCCTGTTGGAACCAGCGTTGAGGGACATGGAACTTGCTCACTGCCTTATTCTATTTTAATTTTTATTGATGTAAATGTTTTCCTTTTTCTTAGATTTTACTAATTTTATTTTGTAATTGACCATTGTTATTTTATATTTGAAGTTGTGAGCTCGTAATTGTATTGTATTTAATTTAATTGTATTAATATTTTAAATTTTCTGTTATACCTTGCTGCCTATAGAGTGCTACAAACTTGTGAATCAAATGTAATGTAGTCAAATAAAATTTACTTTACTTTACTTTACAAAAATAATTTTCCGGACCATATTTTAAAATCAGTAAAAGAAAACTTTTCTAGTGTAAATTATTTAAAACTTAAAACTGAACTAAAAGTTATTTATGAAAGGGAAGATTTTGCTAAAAGTTCTGGAGCCGTACCAATGCTCCAATTATTTATTAACAATAATCTTAATGTAACTTTTTCGGAAACTGTCAAACTGTTGAGTACACTTTGTACGTTACCGATGACAACTGTAGAAAGCGAACGATGTTTCTCTACATTAAAGAGAATAAAGACATTTTTACGGAATACTATGGGACAAGAAAGACTCTCTGCGTTAAGTATAGAGAAACCGTTTATAAACAGTATTGTTAATTTTAATGAGCGTGTTATCAATCATTTTTCAAATGTTAAAGACCGAAGAGTTGATCTAAAATTTAAAACCGTTTAAACAAATATATTTTAATTAATTAAACAAAAACTGGTTGATTTCTTTATTTTAAAGATTTTTTTTTATATTCCCTATTTAGAAAACCAGAAATAAAGCCACTTTAGGGGGTGGCCCCAAAAAAATTTTGAGGCACTTTTTACTTTGACCCTCCCATTTCATCTCCCACAAGCCGCCACTGGGTAGAGAGGGGGTAAACGTCAAACTACGTCGGGCGGCTCCTAGAATTTCGCAGTAATGTTTACCTGCCAGTGTCGTTTCATAGAATAAGTAATTTTAAATTGTTATCGGCGGAACCGGACAATCGCATGTATTTATGGATTATAAATAATTATTAAAGATGTATTATAATATTCAAATCATAATTTTACAAAATTTCAACAGCTATTCACAATTTATTAAACTATTTACTCGAAATTGTTATTAACATCTATAAAATAATTTTGTACGCCAATGTATCGCGTCCACTTCGGTGAGATCCGCTGCCAACCTGTCAATTTATGTGTATAAAGCAATGACATATATAGATTAATAGACTGCTCATCCATATATAAACAAGATGTTTGGTATGAACTAGCGGAACGCACCCTAAGCGTCAATTGTCCATGTCATGCATGTCAGGTCCTCGAGGTCACTCATCATCATTTTTGTTCATCGTTGTAACATTCATGTATAAGTTCTCATTATTCACTTATGTTTTAATTAAAAGTTATATACCGCTAAATGCTTTTATTGAATATAAAACATGGCGCAGTTAAACAGAACCGCTCAAGTTTAAGTAGCAAGTATTGTACACTGAAATATACCAGATCAAGTATCATATTAAAACACAAAAATGGCCAACCTAGCAGGAGGACCCGTTAAGTTACCGCCTGATTTTGACCTTCAAGGTCAAAACGCCGCTTCAGAATGGAGATTTTGGAAAACAGCTTTTGAAGATTATATGGTAGCCACCGGCCAAAACGAAGCCCCAGATAGCGTCAAATTATCCATATTAAGAAATATTATCGGCACAGATTCAGCAAGAATCATGTCTACTTTCTCCATACCAGATAATGAAGCCAACAAATATACATATGTATTAAACACTATAGGAAATTATGTAAATCCTCGAATAAATGAATGCTTTGAACGATATACATTTTTAAAAAGAACCCAAAAAGAGAGTGAATCGTTTGAACATTTCTTAACTGACTGTAGACACTTAGTAAAAAGTTGTAATTATGACACAATCGACCCAAGACAAACAAATGAGGAA